GCTGCTTTCGAGCGCTCTTCTTGCATCTGCTGCTGGCGCAAAGCCTCCTCAAGCTCCTCAATGCGCTGTTTTCCAGCTTTTTCGCTGGCTGCCACCTCTGCTGCCGTGTCTGGGGGCTCTTGTGGTGCAGCAGCGCGCTCTTCTGCTGCAGCCCTTGATTGCTCTGCTTCTTCTATGGTCTGCGCCATTCTTTCAAGTTGCTTTTGCAGCTCCTCTACTTCTTTTTCTTTCCCATCGAGCTGCTTTTGGACAGCTGCTTTTGAGCGCTCTTCTTGCACCTGCTGCTGGCGTAAGCTGGCTACGAGTTGTTCTTGGGCACTCGTTTGCTCTTTCTGTGCTTGCAAAGACTCAGCTAAGCGGTTTCGGTTTTGCTCTAAGGTCTCCTTTTCCTGCTGCAACTCTTCAATGCTGCTGTCTGCCTCTTGCAAAGCCTCTTCGAGCTCCTCGATGCGCTGGTTGGCATCCTCCCTCACAGCTTCGTTGCTCTCCTGCAGCTCACGGATCCGAGCACGCAGTTTGTCCTGCTCAGCCTCCGACACTTCGAGCCGGTCTCGAAAGTCTTCAGCAACCCCTCGAGTGGACTGCAAGAACTCTTCCAGCTTGCAGTTCTCATACCTGGCATGCGCCACTTCTCGATCGCTCTTGAGCAGCTGCTGTTGCAACTTCTGTGTGTTGGCTCGTGAGGCCACAATCTTCCCTTTCAACTCTTGATTGTGTTGCTGCGAAGTGTCTAACTCTCCCGCCAAAGCAGCGATACGCGCTGCTAGCGCTGAGATTTGCTCTGTCGAGGAGTCCAACTGAGAGGAGTATGCATTGCGCTGCTGTCTCGCTGCGGCATGACTCGTTTCCAAGTCCTTGAACTTCACCTCAGTGGATGACAGCTGTGCTTCAAGCTCCGACACCTGCTCCAGCAACATCTCACCCTCATGCGGCAAGTGGGCAAACTCATCCGGCCCGTCGTCCGGCCCGGCCAAGGGGGGCAAATCCTGCAAGACCGCCGGAACAGATTCCGCCTTTTCCGGCGCGGAATCCCCGATGTCTAGGCCCCCCGCCTTTTCCGCCCGGCCCAGCTCGATCTCAGCCGCCAGCAAGCGCTGACGACACAAATCCAGGCGTGGCGGTACCTCGTCCAAAAAGCCGGGAATGGCCCAGCGAGGCCAGCCTTTCACCATCGCGGCGGTGGGGCCATCTGAAGTCATGTCAATGGTACCCCAGGTCATCCGATTCGAGTCAGCGACCACCAAACCTCCTGATTGCTGCAGATGGGAGACGTTGGCTTTGCCAACCCCCGGCAGCGCTCCAGCAGATCTGCTCTGAGGGATCCGAGGCATGGCGGCAAGTGTCTCGGAGAAAAGCCTTCGATAGATGGCTGCGCAAGTGTCAAAGAGACTGCAGTCCTTGGCTGCTCAAGAAATCATAACTCCTAATTGCATATCCAAGTGTTTGTTGGTCTGAGTACGGCCAGGCCTGGAAGAAACACCAGGAGTGGCTTGGACTGCTGTGACAGTAGCCGTTGGGCATCTGGCACTTCAACCCAACAACAAAGCAAGCAACAAGCAGTTCGCATGATACAGTGAAGTTATGTCTCTCTTTCTCTCTCTCTCTCTCTCTCTCTCTCTCTCCTTGCGTTTATCACCAGAGTCTGCCACCGCCGGAGGCAAAGACACAGCCACCCGCCTGGTCCAGAGTGTGAGCCGGCCCCTGAGATCAAGGCGATGGCAAAGGCCAGCATGCCAAACCAATCTAGTGACCCCTGCCGAATGAAGTGTATTGACCAATCTGGTGATCCAAACCAATCTGGTGAACAAAGTCAGCAAGTCTGCAAGTCTAGTCTATTGACTTGCACCATCCGTTTGCCAAGTGTTCTCTCTTTCTCTCTCTTATTTTTTCTCTCTCTCACTCTCTCTCACTCTCTCTCTCTCTCTCCCTCTCTCTCACTCTCTCTCTCTCTCTCTCCCCCCCCCCCCCCCCCCCCCCCCCTCCCTCCCCAGCCGACATGACTTCCAACAAGTTTGTGCTGAGCCTGCTGAGCTGTGTTGAAAGAATGTCAAGACATGAGCTGACAAATGTAAGGTCTGCTACACTAGTCACTAGTGGGAGTTGCAGTTCATTGTCACACTTAACCGGAGCACTATTGAAACTATACCAAGTGTAGCCTGCGGTCGGTTTTCGGAATGGGGAAACTGGGATCTAGGAAAGGGCGAACTCTTAATTCGGAATCGTCCTTTAAAGGGAATTGGCAAGGCGGAGTGAGTGGCTGAGCATTAAAAAGAAACAATTTCGGCAGCAGAAGAGAAACAGCTGTCGTAGCAAGCAAAGTACAGTCGAAGAAGTAGCGCTGATTTTGCATTGGTGGCCGGTGCAGTGGAGCGTGGGCAACATTTGAGAAAAAAAAAAAAAAAACTTTTCGTGGCGCTGGAGGGGGGTTGTGGGAAGGGCGCGTGATTTTTGTTTCTCTCAAGTTCGGTGGTGTTTGTTGGGGTCGGCTCGCAACTCACTTGCGCAAGCGACGTCGGCAGTGCGCCCCTGCCTACTTGATTACGAAGAGGCCATGTCCAAACATCGACTTGCACACGCAAAAATAGACTCACTTGCGCACCCATGCACCACTTGCCCACGCTGCGATCCACTTGCGCACACAGGCATAATGTTGACCTCTGATCAATAAATCTACCCAAAAATTGAGTTGGCAAAGTCCCAAATAATAAACCTCCCCGAAATAAAGTTAGCAAATTAGCCCAGCTGGGGACCCCAATAGCAAGATACAAACCGGAACAAAAAGAAAAATTTACAAACAACTGCTGTTTTCAACTCATCGACCATCTCTTCCTTAGACACCATCATCACATAACCGGCACACCATCACAAAATGGCCAGGGCACCATCAAAACATGACCGAAACACCATCACAACATGACTGCGATACGGCGATACAATCAAAACATGCTCGGAACACCATCACAACAGGACCGCGCCACCATCACATGACCGGCACACCATCAAAACATGACCGGCACACCGTCACAACACGACCGAGACACCATCAAAACATGACCGGGACACCATCAAAACAGGACCGGGATACCATCACAACATGACTGGGACACAATCAAAACATGATCGGGACACCATCACAACATGACCGCGCCACCATTACATGATCGGGACACCATCAAAACATGACCGGGACACCGTCACAACACGACCGGGACACCATCAAAACATGACCGGGACACCATCACAACATGACCGGGACACCATCACATGACCGGGACACCATCAAAACATGACCGGGACACCATCACAACATGACCGGGACACCATCAAAACATGACCGGGACACCATCAAAACAGGACCGGGACACCATCACAACATGATTGGGGCACAATCAAAACATGATCGGGACACCATCAAAACATGACCGGGACACCAGCATCACATGATCCGGACGCCATCAAAACATGACCGGGACACCATCCGCCCACCAGCTCTAACGGTGACCCGACGGCGCCCGTCCGCCTATTAATTTTGCAAGACCCCATAGCATGGCTATTGGGGAAGTAAAGTAAATAGAGTGTTCCCCAAAATAAACCAAATGTTTTTCCTGAAGCCAGCATGCCGTAAATAAAGTTTACCCTAAATAGAGCTATACAATGTCGTTCACTGAACAAATTTGTTGAGTTAGTATTTGCTTATTTTTTCTCTTTTGTCAACAGATTGCTTCTTTGGATTCCTTCTTTATTAAATCCGTTCCTCTTCATCTCACAACTTCGTATCATCATACCACAAAACCTTCAAACAATTCTTTATAAGTCCCTAATTTAAACCATTGGAAACTGATCAAAACTACTCTGGAAAGGGTTCTCCCCATGAAGCCAAACAATGCTTGAACAATGCTCAGAACAGTACAATGCTCAGAACAAGCAACTGCCTTGCGTTCCACAACTCCATGCAATCTATGCTCAACTACAATGACTTGCAGCATTGGCGGCATCCCTTCCCAAGGCACAACGAGATGCAGACTAGCTGCCTGCAACCCAGTAGGCTCTTCCGGCTGAGGGCGCACAGTGTACAGAAGGCTGTCTTGCAGTGATGAGCTCCGCATCAACCGAGAAATCTGAAGGGACCAAGGGAGGTCATTTAACATGCCCCATGAGAACTCGTCTCCTAGAATCTGTTGAGGATCACGAAAAATCCATCCAGTAAGAGCTGTATCACTTAATGGCACTTTCATGTCCAGCATTTGCGTCCTGACAAAGTCGAACTGACTTCCGTGCCATGCCCAATACAACTCACGGTAACGCAGCCTAATTGGCCAGCACCATGCTACCTGGTTGTCAACACAGTATTGAAAATGATGCGCTGAAATTGATGTATGGCCACTGTCCCATTTTAAACGCGAATGCGTTTGCATGCTCGACCATTCATCCAATGCTTCATGATCGTTCTCATTGTTGTACGTATGTTGTTCTTGCACCATCGAATGGATGACATTGAGTGGCTCATCCAGCAGTGGGAAGGCAGAGGTTGCAGTGTTTTCCTCACAGCCTTCACTGCCAATATGATTGTTGAGCTCCTCGCGATCCTCCAAGAACATCTTTAGCAGGGTTCCTTCCGGAACATCCAGAAAGCTGCCCCAAAACCATACCCAGTCCAAGGGATCGATGAGCCAACAATCTTGACTCTCTGCACATCTATTGCATGGGAAGACTATATTGAAGACTGCCTCAACCGTGAAATCGTCTCTCCCGTTGCCCAACATGATCGTACCATCGGTAACTCGCAACCCTTCTTGATACCGAATCAAAAGAACTTGGCATAATTGGCACGCGGATCGAGCAACAAAGGACCATCTGTATTCATTCTCACTCTCTGCTGCCCAAACAGCAGTAAGGACAACACCTTCTCCTTCAAGTTCTTGACTAAGATGCCGTTGCAACTGGCATTCAGCACAATCGGCCCTTCTGAGGTGAAGTGTTCGAACTCGAGAGTTCAGTCCACGATGATTCTGAGGGTGCCACCATACATGGTAGCTCCATTCCCGATGACGGCGCCTACCTTGCAAAATGGCCTCGGTGATGAGATTCTGACGAGCATGCCCACATGCTGCCCCATGCTGCATAAGCACAGAATCCTCGTTGTCAACGACTTCGTTCATAGCGCTACAGGACTCTTCCCCTGGTTCCACAGCTGGCCGAATATCAATTACAAACTTCATTCCTTCCTGCAACAACCATCTACGCCTACAAGGAGACGAATTATGCGTAATCTCACATTCGACAGCCTGATGAGCACATATTTCCGCTACTCCTACCATCCACAGCAGATCAGAGCACTCAATGACACGAGGGGCTTCAAGAGGAATTCGTTGAACATGGAAACCTTCACTTAGCATTGTCCAAATGACAACCAGTATCGGCATCATTCGATCATCAACTTCTCAAATGCCAACTAGATATATAGTATCAATTTGGTCACTTTCTCGTGGCGTCACTGCAGGCCAGGTAAGGGCAGCAGTCACCTCCAGCTCTATGCCCATAACATCCCACAGTTCGAACCTCATCCACCCTACAAATGTGCTAAGCGCAAGAGGCAACGAATGACATGTGAGGAACCAGGAATATTCAAGTTGGTTATGAACATTCCCTAGGGTGACAGTGACCAAGTCTGGATCACCACGACAAATGGCATAATGCTCTTGCCTAATGGTTTCAAAACCCAGCACTGTGGTTCGGTATAAAGCAGCACGCTCAAAGGCTTCCCAATGAATCGCCTCGGGCACCGAGGGTCCAGTGTAGATGCCCAAACTCGCCGCCTCACAAGATCTCTGGTGAACTCACCCTGTTGCGATCTTTGGAAGCGCTGCATTAGATCAGTATGGTCTTCAACTTCTTCCTGCTCTTGCGGATTTGCTTGTGTCTGCATCGCGGAACTTGCACCGGCAGCAGAAGAACTGGGGTAAGCCGACCTGGAAAAGGAGCTCAACGCAAAATTCGGTGGTAGCTCAAAATCCTCCCAAGTGAGGCTCCTCCTTTGTCCCTCAGCCGAGGTTGCAGTGTTTCCCTCGCTGTTTCCATCCGCCCGGTTCGTCACACTCGCATTTTCTGCTACCTCATCTGTTTGCTGATCAGCACGCTGTTGTGTGCCGCAAACTTGTGTAGTTGGCTGGCCTTCTTGAATCACCAGCACCAAGTCAACCAAGGAGAAGTCAGGGACCTTGAGGACTTGGTCATCTTCGTACATCAATCGTCTTCTACCGATTCTTAAGGAGAAACTGGCAACATGAGATTGTTGGAGTAGCTCGGAATAACCCAACTCCCTCAAAATTTG